TGGTAGTTTTCATTAAAAGAAAGATATATATATACATATATATACTTCTCACTCCCCAAAACATGAATCAATTGGGTCTTGATTTTTTGCTGTACAACCCAGTAAAATATGCACAGGTTACATAGACTGACATGTAGAAGTCCAATCTCTGAATGAAGTGAATTAAAAACAAAAATTGAAGACTTCTTTGTGATGGGTAAAATAAACTGAAATGAGAGCAATATCAATATTGTGTATAATTATTTATAAAATGTTTTTTATTCCTAGAAAAAGTGGCAATATTTTTCAATAGTTGTTTTATCTTGCAGTAAAAATTATATAAAAAGGGAACTTCTGTTTATCCTACAAGGGTACTGTGTAAATGTCAGATGTTAACTCCTCTTAGTAGTGGAGATACTTACTGCCTGTCTTAGGATTTCCTTTAACAGTTGGTAGAGATGGAAACTTGATGTTCTCTTATTTTTTTTTTTTATGTTTTTTTAAGTCTCCAAAGGAAGCTTTGGCTCAGTGCGTCCTGGCAGAAGTCCCTCAGCAGGTGGTGAACTACTTCAGCACCTACAAATTGCAACCTCCTAAGAATTCTGCTGCAAAGTGAGTGGGCTGAGTGGGGAAGCTGAGTCTTCATGCCTTCTTTACTTGGTGTACCTACAGACTTTGTTTCTTGAGATACTCTGTATACGTACATATGCACACCTCTGTGTTAATGTGTTAGCTTTTTCCTACAAAACAGTTTGCCAAGAGTGTCTTCTGAGGGCCAAAATTGTAATTGTTTTAGTATTCAATGTATATTTATGGGATAGATATTACATGGATGTGTTTTATTTTGAAAACTAATAGAGGGGGAAAAAGATGAGATTGACTATGCAGAGAGAGGGAGGAGAATGATGAAGAGCAGAATGGCTGCCTGTTTGATAAATGGCCAGTGAGAGTGTTTCTTTCTTCAGTTACTTTCTTGAGTGGGGATCAACACCAAGCAATGCAATTTCTCAGTGATTGTAAAAACAATCTGATGTGAAAAAAAGGGCATATCTCCAAGCAGGTAAGTATGTACGTGCTGCAGCAAATCTGGAATGTTTCACATTTTTGTGTCTACTAGAGCACCATAAGAAAACTTCGTGACAGTAGTGAGTGCCAGAACAAAGTGTAGAAGTCCTCCTTGCATACATACTTCATATTTGCTACTTTAGTGCCTTTGACCAGTGCCTTAGATCTAAGACTGTCTGAATATGGGCAAAATGTCTAAAAATCTCAGAAAAATACTACTGGCCCTTGAGGCTACTACTGTAGATGCTATAACATACATTTGAGTGAGAACTTCACTTAAAAAACAGGAAGTTCAGGTGTTTTTCTTTCTCTCCTTTGAGACAGCCATATACCTGTTGATATTTAAAGGACCAGAGCACATTGTGAAGTAGAAATCAACATTTTAACTGGAAAATTCTGTTTAATAACTGCATGTTATCATACAAAGCTGGTTCTACTTTATATTGATTTTTGTCATATTTTGAATCATGCATTTTTCTGATGAGCTATCAAAAGCTAGTGAAAAGTGCCTGCAGAAAACAATCCTCTTCCACCCCTAGCAGGAAGTTATAAGTAAATATCTTTTGGATTTTGGATGTCTAGTTGTAGCATGTTACAACAAAATGGGCTAAAACTGAATTTAGCCTTCTTGGGCACCCAAGATGGCACCAGTTTATAGTGTATGTGCCTTTTCTGGCTGCTGGAGCTGCACTGTTCTTTTTCCACATATGCATAATTCTGCCAAAAATCTGAATTCATGTTAATGCATTAACAATCATGGATGAGTATTGAGATTGCTTTACATATCCTGTAGGTTGGTCCAAATGTTCCATACGCAGCTGATTAGTTACCACTCATTGATTTTTCTTGGTGGAAGAGGGACATAAATTGTTTTAGGACTGAGATAAAAGAAAGATATTTTGTTTTGTATTAAGTCCAGCACTCTTTAAAAAAATATATATATATACATTCGTACATATTTATATATATATATAATTCATGTTTTGGTCATATAAAAATATATGGAGTAATTTCTTTGTAACTGGAGTGCAAATGCATCAGTATTTCATACATAAGATATAATGAACTGCTATGCTCTATCTGCAAGAGACAATATTAATATCAAGGAATTGGTTATGAATCTAAATCACACTGCTTTAGATTGATAAAGAATGATTTTGCACCAGTTAACTTTCACAGTTGTGTGCTCCATGCAGACAGGGAGCGAATGAGATGGGGTGTTAGTGCTTTGTCTGGATTCATTGAAGTGGATGTGTACTACTGATAGGAATTCAAAAATTCCTTTTGAGCTTTCTGCCAAAAATGATGCTGCATCTCAGTTATGTTGCTGTGGAAGTGCATTTAAATGTATTAACATATGTTAATAAGCATAACTGTAGTAATCACCTGCTGTGTATAAAATAAAACTTATTCCTGAATTCATTGAGCTTAGGAAATTAAAATAGCATATCAATAACGTCTGATCTGAAGGTACCGTATACTTTGTAAAATAAATATGTTTCAGACCTGACAACGGCTAGAATCATTTTCCAGGTATTCTTCTCTTTGGAGCATACAGCTAAAAGCATGTTGAAAACTTTGGAAATTTCCATGTTGGGCTGAAGTAGTATTCTGAGCTAAGGTATGCACCAAATTGGATCAAGAGGAAGGGGAATTTTCTCATTTTGCTGGGTTTTTTTTGTTTTTTGTTTTTTTTTTTTTTAATTTTTATTTTTACATGTGAAAAATGCCATATTAGCTTGAGAGTACCAAGCAAAATATTTTGTTAAGTTCTGGGAAGTGTATGTGCTTGTAGATCACTTGCACCACCTTGTGATGAAAGTAATATATAGCAGTCTCTGTAATCAAGAACTCTTTGCTGTTTAATGGCTTAATATATACATATGTGCAGCAGAGAAATAACCTGTGACCAGAGTTTTGTTTTTTTTTTTTTTTTTTTTTTTAAGTACTTTCCATATGTATTTCAGTTCTGAAGCTAACTGGTTTACAATGCTACACATTAAAATTGTCATTTCAGTATATTGTCTTCTGTCGTGCTTTTGTATTCAGCATTTTCTTTGGAACAACAAATACTATTTTTGTAATTGTTGAGATGAGTATTGCACAGGCTGAGCAGCTTAGATAAATATATGTTGATAGAGGGGAAAAAGCTTTCTTACTTGGTGGTTGTGAACGTGCAGATTGTATTTCATAAAACATGATGTACTGACTTTATCAACGTGATATTCTGAAATTGGATAGTTTTAGCAGTGACTATCTCATTCATGCTGAAATATGCACTTATGATCAGTTTTTCCAAGTATTTTTTCTTCTCCATGGCATCTATGTTTTAAGTAGAGAAGTGCAGAGATTTAAAAATAAGCAAATTTCAAACCCAATGACCCTTCACTGACATTCAGGTGTAGTCAAGACAGATGATTTACTGTGAAACTCAGACTTACTGGAGTCATAGTGTTACAGTGGTGTGTATTGCCAAACAGTACCTTAGTAAACCATGTAGAGGCTCTATTGTGATTCACTCAATTTCTGTACAAATGAAGAGTCCACAGGGTAAAATCAGTTTCAGGAGGCTTAATGCACACAAGGAACATATCTTGAGGTGTCTTGTGCTGCATGGTGTTCTTTCTGTGAAAATCCAAGAAATAGCTGAATTTTGAACTCCTGTATCCTTCCTGCCCGTCCCCACTCAGAAATATAGATGGATTCCAGGAAATAACAGCAGATAAGTCAGAAGTCAGAAAAACAAATGAGTGTGACTTCATGTAGCCCTGAGCTTAAGCACTGACACTTTCATTTTGGATCTAAGGAACAAGAGAGCTTTGCATAGCTAGTTTTGAAGACAGAACTGGCAAGCTCCCCTTGCAAACCCCAGTTGCTAAGAGCTGTAGTGAAGCAGCAGCTCTGTTTCTCCAGTGCGACATCCACTGCTGCCATTTCAGACCTTAATATTTGAAAACACGTGGTTCAATTTCAGTATTACCAACCATGGAAGTGTTTGTTTTGAAGACCTGACAGAATTTGTATTGGTGGAAGGGGACTGTATTTTTTGCTTCACTCATCAATATCAAAATGTAAACATATGGGGGTTTGTGTGCTTTTCCCACTTAATGTTTTGAAAACTGTCCCTCAAAAAGTCTTTTAAGAGCTGTGTATTGAAATGAATTAATAGATCTTTTACATTCACAGTAGGCCTCGCATTTTAAAGCAGTCTTGTAGTACTTCTCATTTTGATCCTGTATTGAGATGTCCCAGATGGACACAAAGAACTACCCAGTTATTGGTGTGTGATACCATGATACCATTTTGTACCATTACGTGGCATCCTTTCTTTTCTTACATATCAAATAGCATATGACAGACCAATAAAGATGGTTATTCCCATGTTAAACCTTGACCTCACTATTTATATGACAGAATTTTCTTTTTGAGAGAGATTTGTTTTTCAGCCATGTCGTAGGTTGTTTAGAATATACAGAATTCAGTCATCTAGCTTTTCCTCAGCCAAGATGCCCACAGATTCTGCAGCTATGCCTATGATTGTATTCAAAGGCATTATAGGATAGACTTGCACAATTTGTAGCCCACGTGAGCATAAATAGCCTGTGAAGGTATTTTTTTTCCACTATGGCATGGTGTTTTCCTTGTATCGCGGTTGTCTGTTCAGCTGAGGAACAGTTCAGCTGTAAAATCTGCCCTTATGATTTGTTTGCAGGCATCTGGATAATGATTGTAGTTCCCAGTACTATGCTTGCACTGGGGACTGAAAGTAGGCTGGGAGAGGAGACAAACTCATAGAAGAATTTAGAGGGTTACTGGGGAGGGTTTTCTTGTGTTGTTTTTTTTTTTTTTCTTCTTTTTTTTTAGATATTTGTAACATGTTAAGTGTAAAATGGAAGCAGTTGAGAATTAAGCTTAAAACACTGCTTCATCTTTTTGTTTAATTTATATCCCTTTTTGCTTTGAGTCTGTGCAGAAGGTTGATGTTGGCAGCTTCTTGTCAGTGACACAGCTGAGAGAGCTTTCTAGGCAAACGATTTGCTTTAGTTCATAGGTATGATGTAGCCCACCCTGTAAGGTGTGTGGCTCATTTGTTGCTATCAGGTGAGATCTGCGGTGGAAATGAACAACTGGAGCATTCAGCCTCTTGGAATTGTGTAGCACATGGCCAAAAAGTGTAAATCTTGCTTATTATAAAACTGCTCTTATTTCTAAATTGGCCACTCTAGATAAGAGGTTCTTCAAAAAAATTAGCCGGTATCAAATGGTTGCTCTTCAGAGAGCAGTATTAATATCCAACCCCTTGAGAAGGTGAAGTGTGTAAATCAACAACCAAAAGTTAAAGGTTGCTCCCCAAGGGCGTGTGGGAAGTATCTTAATTCTGCTGATCTAACTCACCAGAGTCAATACAGACACCTGGAATGATGCTTTTGCTTTCAGGAAGCTAGCAGTAATTACACAGCCCAATTCCCCATATTGTATGTTGTGATTTTTGTATTTATTTATTTATATGGTTTTATTTTGTAACTGTCTGTCCTGAGCTAAGACATCCTAATGCTGAGCATCAGAGCCTTCTGTGCTGACCAATGCTGTCACAAAAGCGTGTCGCTGATTAGAAGTATAAGGGGAGGGGAGAGAAGGATTGACAGAAACATGAGTAACCTCAGCAATAGTAGTGAAGTAACAAGGAACAGGACAGCTATAGGAAACCAGAAAAGAAAGTAGAGCAGAACAGACATGAAAATTACAAGCAAACTAACAAAGAGGAAAAATAATAAGAAAGAGAGAATAAACAGGAGAGGGAAAAGGAGAAGCAGGAACAAGGCAGAGTAAGAGATAATGGAGAGCATAGATCAACCAAGAAGCAAGCTGTTCTGAAATGCAATCAGATATCTAATTCCTATTACACAAGCAGTTCTCTCTTCAGACTCAAGATTAAGATGTAAGTGTACAAACAATTTGTCCCGTTGCCTCAGGAGAGGAGGGAAGAAAAATGGCTGGGGTAGATTCTCTCTTGAGTAGCTTCTATTTCTATCTTCTGTACCCAAAGGCAAAGTCACACTGAGCCCTTCGAGTTCAACAAAACGAGGCCCAAAGTACCATCTATTTGTTTTTCTTCTCTTTAGCTTCGACTTTAAGGATCTCTCCTTCTCCTGCTCTGGGGGAAGGAGACATAGTGATGATCAGAGACTCATTAGTGGTTCCTCTGTGCATAACTGCATGTGGTTTAGGCTTAGTGTCTGCTTCTGGCTCTTCCTTTTTCGGAGGGGGTGCAGATGGGGCTGCAGGCTCTGGTGGTTTCTTCTCCTCTTTTTCAGTCTTCTGTGCTTCAGCTTCATGTTCCTATAACCAAAATGTTAAATGTTTTCTAATGCTGCAAAACAAATTCAGGAAAAAATTCTGCACTGTATATACAGTGGTAAAGCATGGCATGGGATATAAGATTAATAGGACTCAACTTGTATATAAACTTGTATTCAGCTGCTGAAAATCACTTTCTATGTGAAAAATACAATTTCAAGATCAGAAAACAATAAAACTAGGAAGAGCTTGTGGGTAGCGATAGTATCTACTTCTCATTAATACAGCTGGACAAAACAGGCAAGCTTTGGTGAACAAAACCTTTCCTCAGGTCTCACCTTCCTTTATGCACTTATGCAGGTATAGAAAGAAAAAGTGTTATGTGATTCTCAACATACTCTCCAGTGCCTCATTTCCTTGGCCAAGCCTATTTGTGCTAAAGTTTGCAAATATGCGTTAAATTTGGTGAAGTTTCTGCTTCAGTCTTGCTCTTGTAGTCTCTCATTTAAGCGAAGTCCTTTATTTCATTTAAAAGACAGTAGAAACACGGCCCAACAGTAGCTATAAAAGCCAGAAAAGTATTGTGCCTCTTCTGGGCAAATACTTAAAACTGAACAGGTTCTTACTAATATGAATGTTTCTCTAAACAGAATATAAGGTAGGAATTTTTTTTAATCAACTGAAGTAAGCTTTCTCATAAATGCACAGTATCACATATTTAAACAGATCTAGCTGTGTGGTCTCTACTTGAAATGTTGTTTTCAAGATTTCTTATTAGCAAAGGTCTGACTTTGAACTGGAAAGCTCTCTTTATGCTTCAGTCAACTGGATAGGATTACTGCATTTGGACAGTTGTGTTCACTTCTGTATGTATAAAATTAGAAGATCAGATGCTCTTAGTATCTTTTAGTGTCTCTTTTATCCTTTCTTTTCTTGAGAGTTTATGTTTGCTTATGTTTTCCTTGCTCTTGTTTTTCTCTGTTTTTCCTAGGGTTCAGACCAAGAAAGATTTGAGCCAAATTCTACGGTCCAAATTTACAGAGATTAATTACCATGACTGTATCTCAGCTACTTGGAGTTTTTGCTACTCGTTGCTCTAAAGCTGTGTTTCCATCTGTTCCATTTGTCCAAGCCTCCCAGTATATTTCCTACTTCTCTATCCAGCACTTGACAGAATCTGTTCTGTTATCTGTGACATTACCTGAATGTCTTGTTCTCTCTTCAGCTGCAGCAGCTTAGCAAGGCCTCCTTTTCCTTTAGCTCCAAACATCGCTTTAAACAGTTTTGGAGTTTCCTGTTTTTGTCCAAACAGATTGGCCAAGCCCCGGGGCTGCTGCACTGGTGGTCCAGGAGCAGGTTTACCCTTCTCTTTCAGCAACACCCTGGAGGCAGGAAGGAATGGGGACACACAGCAGTGCAGTGAAACCTGGAAAAGTTCTGGCAAAACTAAAATGTCATGTGTGGATGAACAGCTGACAACTTCTCTAGACATTTTTTTTAATCCTAGATTCAGTGGTAGGAGGAAAGCAGGTAAGGGTGAGGGCTTTATTGGCTTTGGTAGTATCTAGTAAATTGAAAGATACTGTTTTAATTTGGAGTTGCTTTCTCATTTCTTACAGCTTAAACTAGTGTAGGCTCGAATTAAAGTATTACAAAGCAGATATGTTTTATAAGGTGAGAAATAGTTGCAGGGGAAGGATGCCTTGTACAAGAGGCAGAAAGTCTCTCTGCTGAATGTCTGGATACAAATTCAGAGAGCATTTATTACTCTGGAGTTTAACTGATTCTTGAGGAAGTAACTGTTAACCAAACTTTTAGCCTAAGTCATGTCAGGTAGTGGTGCGTATTTTGGTCTTCTTCAGTAAATTACCCCGAGTATATGAAAATTACTAGATTTTCACATCTTTCAGTAGCTGTGCTGGTTGGCAACCATAATTGGAGGAAGTGAGAATGAATGATGATGGTAGAAATTCATACTTTGTAACTTTGGGAACACTGATAGTTTGATTCCAAATTTGAACTGCAAATCTCTGTCAAAATAACACAAGTCTTCTGTTGGTGCCTAGTTTTTCTGGAGACATGGCTGATGATGCACAGAGCATACACAGACTTAGTAAATACTCAGACAGGTGAGCAAAATACATGGCCTCCAGTACAAGAAAGGCACTACATAATTTTTTAATTGCACAGGTTTTTAAATTGTGCATTTTTTAAATTACAAAACCTTTTTAAGATTGATATCTAGAGAGGACTTTGGGCCCACATGGGGATGTAGATATGAAGGATGGGTAATTATTAAACTCCTACTATTGAGAGAAGTTGCACGGAGAAAGCAGAATGCAGTGATTTAGCAGGATATGATTACAGTGGGCAAGGAAGCAGGAGAAGATAGTGCAGGGCATAGAAACAGAAATAAGAAGTAATGATGATTGTACCACTGTTTAGAAACAAGCTGGAAGTCAGGAAGGATAACTGTGGGGGATGATCAGTCAGTGAGCTTGTTCTGTCTTTCTACCTGTTGGTATTGAAGTCTAATCTCTGAAGACCGCAGATGTGAAAACACTTAGCAGATGGGCAAGATCTGTGCATCTACCTCTACCTTGCTTGATGCCATGGGCATCGCATCAGCCTGTTTAGGGGTCCCTCACTGAGTCTGAAAGCCAAAAGTGTGTGCTATTGGTCTTATTCATGCATTTCAATTTTTTACAAGGTAGTAAGGCAATCATGTTCATAATCTTATGGCAAAATATGACAGCATTTTGCCCTGTCAAAGCCAGGGTAAACTGCGTTCCAGCGAAAGGAGGACAAGAAGCAGTTCTGATTTGAAATCCTGTTTCAGAATCTCTTTGCACAGAATGGACACCTTTCAGATCTGTGTGCTTATCTTTCATCTTACCAGGTGTTACTTTAGATCAGCTTCTGTGCAAGCCGGTGGGTGCATCGAAGCATATCTCTATAGAACTAATTGCAGATGTTTGGTTGCTTCTTTGAAAACCTGCAGCTTAACTCACATCTGTCTTGCATTTTCTGACTTCTTGTCTACGTAAGGAGTTTTGTCCTGATACACATCTGTGCCTCTTGTTTTGTTACCTGAAGTGCAGCTGCACTCAGGACTTTCTTCTATTTACCACATTCTCACAACTATTGGAATTCCTGACATGAAAGCATGGCTTCCCATATGTACTAGCAGACAAATCTGACCTCTAAATACAAATGTGTTTACATTATTCTCCACAGAAATGAATGGGAATATGTCTAGGGGCCACAACTATCCATTAAAAAGCTAAACACAGTAATTTAAAAAAATTTTTAGGACATACTTTGCTTTCTTCATCAGAAGTTTTTCTGAGTCAGGGTAATGCACCAAGATTTCATTGAGTGTTTTCTTGTCTAGAATGAAAAGGTTGGCAAAACCATGAGCCACCACGTTGGCAGTCCTTCGATTTCCTCCACCTGCGGCTAATAGGCTGCAATGAAAATAAACATTATTACTCACCTCACTACTTGACTTAGTGAGGAACCTCTGAAGTTGGTTTTCCACTGAAAACATAACAAAACAGCTCACTAATGTACCCAAGTGTTCTATCTGATTTCTGTGAAGTCCCTTTGCAGTCGTGATTGGAAATATCTTCTTGTATCAAGAAGACATATTATCACTTCCGGTCAGGATTGTTGGTCCTGGACTGTGGAAAGTCTTGCTGGGAAGACACGTGTCGCAGAATCATAGAATCATTGAGGTTGGATTAGACCACTAAGATCATACAGTCCAACTATCAACCCATCACCACCATGCCCACTAATCACATCTCTCAGTGCCACACCACACTTCTTGAACACTTCCAGGGATAGTGACTCTACCACCTCCCTGAGCAGCCTCTGCTAGTGCCTACTTTTTTGGAGAATAAGTATTTCCTAATATTCAAGGAGAACTTCCCTTGGTGCAATTTGAGGCCATTCCCTCTCATCCTGTCGCTGTTAACTGGGACAAAAGGCCAACTTTCCCCCTTACCCACAACCTCCTTTCAGGCAGTTGTAGAAGGTGATAAGGTCTCCCCTGAGCCTCCACTTCTCCAGACTGAACAATACCTCAGCCACTCCTGTAGGACTTGTGCTCTAGACTCTTCACAGCTTTGTTGTCCTCTGGACACACGTTTCTCCCAAGAGACTCCACAGCAAGGACTGCATCTGTTTTAGTCCTTGTGTGAACTTGGCATTTCCTCATTTTTATTGTTGAAAATGATTTAATACAATAGGGAGAGCAGCATAAGAACATTATAATTGAAGGCATATTTACAATGGATAAATGACTCCAAGAATTGTAGTTTTCCTGAGTGAATAACTTGAGTAGGGTTTTGGTTTTCTCATGTCTCACATTTGGATGTTGGCAAGTTTAAGAATATGGATTTGGAAGACCTTTCAAGCTGACAGTTACAAATGTGTCTGTCAGAAACTGAAGGCTATTTTGTTTAGAAAGTAAAGTGTAAGACCAGCTTATTTAGCAGGGGTTAGACATAGGAAGGATATCTACATAAAAATTAAATTGTCCATCTTGAATGAAGAAAATGAAATGAAAAGAGTTAATTCACAGCACTGAACATGCTACAAATCTAGCTGTGGAGTCCCTCTTCAGTGCAGGGGGGTTGAAGTAGATGGCCTTCAGAAGTCCCTTCCAACTCTAAGGATTCTATGATTAATGTTTGATGTTAAGCAATAGAAGCTGCATTTTACTCTTACTAGTAAAATTGCTTTGTTACTATTTGAGGAGATTCATTGTAGAGATTTTTCCCTAAAATGTTTCACAGTGTGTTACTGCATAAAAGAATATTTTATAATACCTAAATTTAAAGGTTATTAATAAAGGATAGTCTGGACCCTATCAGAAATGAGTTTATTTTATAATACCTAAATTTAAGTTATTGATAAAGGATAGTCTTGACTCTATCAGAAATGAGTTTGTACTTATCATCAATACTGATCAGGATATACCCATGCTACTTTTTAGTATTAAGGATATACATATAGTATTTATAAGCATTAGATTCTACTGATAATATTATTGATTTATAAAGGATCACAAGACCTCTGAATTCTATGTATGAGGCTATTTTTACACAGACATAAAGTTTTGCTGCTATCCAAGGTAAGAATCAACCTATGAAGTCAAGTATAAAATGCAGCATATTATTCTTTTACAATCCTGTACAGTTTCCAGGCAGAAAAGTATTTGCACAATAAGAAAAGCAGTTGAAGAAAATTGCAAATAGTTTTTGACTTCTGATAAATCACTTCTCAACAAGTAACTGTACAATCATTTTCAGGCTTTCCTAATAACAAGCTCATTTTGTTGAGGCAGATAGGACTAAAGAGAACAGCTCTTTTCTTACGGTGATGACGTGAGGGGAATTTTATGAGGGAGGCAATCATTGCTCAAACAGAATCTTCTTTGACTAAAACAGCATTATGGACTCTGTTTTGGCCATTCTGCTAAAAGTTGTGTGGTAGACTAAATATTTACAAATAATTGGCATTGTCCCTACAGTTGTTCTTGATGCTATAACATCTACAGTAATAAGGAAAATTGCCTTTTTACCTTATGGTTTTTATTGCAGTTAGCCTGAAATGATTTTATACTTATATGAGATGATAACTTCTGAATTCTTACGATAGCAATTTAAATCTGGAGGTATGAAGTTGTCAAAGCAATGTCTTAGTGTATCTATTTCTTTTTTATAGCTGAGCACAGTAGGAAGCAGCCGTTCATTGAAATTAGCAAACTGATCCAGGGAATGATGTGCATATCAACTGAATGTGCAGTGTGGTAGCTCTTCAACTGGGCATATCTGTACATCTGGAAAGAGCTGCTAAATCAGGAAGGAGTCTGGATCTTGTGTCTGAGCTGAATGTCAGACCTGAAATGTCAGAGTTCACTGAAAAGCAGCAGCTACTGCTGCTGGGCCAAAGTAGAAACTCAGTCTTTCACAAATATTCCCTTTAGTTTTTGAGTTTTTAAAGGGAAGTTAAAGTTACAACACCACTGAAAGGCTAAGAACAAAGCCAAATACTTAGAAATCTTCCTGCCAAAAATGCTGCTATTTTTCCAGAATTTCCATTTTCTGATGGGAAATTGTTCCAGTGAGGTAATAATAAGTGGATGATTTAGGACAGCTAGCTTGATGTGTACAGTTCTCTGGATTAATGAAGTGTTGTATTGTAGTTTCCCTCTCTTGAATTTCTTCTTTTCTCAGTTGTCTGCATTCTTTTTGCCTGTATTTCTGGGATTATTTTTCTTTCCCTAAGATGACATTATCAGTACAGGAAAGTAGTAATGAGGGTAAGATGTTCATTGGAAGGCAGCTCCTATTGCTTAATCTATATCTGCAATAATTCTTAAAACAGGATTGGCAAAGGACTGGGTTGAACATCAGTCTTGCATTGGCCTTCTATTATAATTCAGGAAATATTTTTGAAATGAATGAACATTCTTTGTTGTCTTCAACTCCTTTACCCATAGAGACTTTAAAAGCATGATTTATAAGCATTTCGAACCGTGAGATTAAATAGCTAGTATCTTATAATTCATATGATCAAACCACTCAGAATGAAGCTGACATGATTCTCTACACAAATCTTGATTCAAAAAATCAGGTGGAAATTATGACAGTTCAATACCAGGTGCTTACCAGAGTATGAATGCTGAGGAGAAAACCTGGATGTGCTAAATAAAGCAATATTTCATTCATTAAAGGCCTTTTCTTTTTCATTTTCCTCTGCTGTACAGTACTCAGAAGACCTTGATAGAGCTTGTACAGAAGGGCACTGTATAAACTCATTATTTTCTAACATACTGCCACAAGGAAAAGGATAAATTTCTGCTGGTATACTTAGTGCTTCATGTCTTTGCTTTTCAATTTCAGAGATTTCTGCCAGTTGCTATGTGTTTTCCCCTTAGGTTTATCCATTGCCTGTCATTTATATGCAAAGTAACAGGGTCTGTAGCAGTATGCTGTCTCCACCAACACGGTAGGTCAGTGATGAATAAAACAAGACGACAAGCATAGGTTTAAAGCATTGCTGAGGGCTTTGCTGGCCATCCTGGCAACTATGTGAAGAGTAAAACATACTGGGAAATGAATCTTTAAAGGCAGCTGTGTGGATCTCATCTGGAAATAAGTCCCCACTTTTGTTAGATCAAAACATTGAAAATCCTTTCCTTGTTTTCAAATCAGTCATGAACATTCCTCAGTTTGAAAACAAATGTCCTTGCTCCAAATGCAGGACTAATAAATAATTGAAAAGTGTGTATGTATTATATCTCTGGGATGCTGCAGCTTTTCTTTTACCTTTTCAGTACCTGTTCCTACCTGAAAATCACTGTGTTCTGACACTTTCTGCATAGCACACAACATGCCATTTTGTTTTGAAGCTTTGCTCTTGTATTGTATTGTCACACAGAGAAACGCTTTTAAAATAACCTTCTTGCCCTTATCTGATATAGCCTCACTTTCCAACTCAACGAGGAAGGTCTGTATTTATGGGGTATATCAAGTGTTCTCCACGTGCAGCTCTGAGAAGGCTCTGTGCACCCACTACAGAATAAATGGGAAAGTTTCCACTACCACAACGGGAGATGCAGCAGAAGATAAATATAAACCTAACACAGAGCTGATTACCCACTTTTGAAAAGATGGATTAAGGCTACCTTTAAGAGGATTAACAGTAACAAGAGTGCAGCTGGAAGAAATCAAGAATCCAGTTTATCACATGCAGCAGCACATGTATTTTGTTTCTTTCCCTCAGTCTGACCTCAGTAGGGGATGCGGTACCTAAAATCTAGCTCTTACTTGTCTAACTGGTGAATAAGGCAAGAAGAGCTAATGGATTTTGCAAAGCAGCTATGTGGAGAATATAAAAAACTTTTGTAACTGCTCAAGGAAAGTTTTATCCTCCAGAGAAACTTAGACTCAAAAACCTGGTCTGTCAGCCCTTTCCTTTTTTGTATTTTCTTAAACAAATACATATGAAAATGTAGATGCTGATTTTCAGCAACTTACTCTCTACTTCAGCTCATAAATGAATCAATCTGTATTGCTATTTTAGATTTGTTACCTCCTTTGTTGGAAATTAACATTTTTACTCCATAGTGTGTAAGGGCAGCTAGTCTATCTATACAGGCAATAAAATACATTCGGTTCCGCCTTTGTGCAGACTTTGGAAGAGGAAGATATGCTCAACCTTTTAAATCCTGAAGGAGAAATCCATCCATGTATCCTTGTGTACCTTGTTCTGAATACTGATTATACATTATTTGTTGTTTACAAGTCTGAGGTCTTGGCAGATTACTCTCTGATGTTTCACTTACATGGACTTTCCCTCACTTATCTGTACATCTCTGCTCAGCATTCTCTTGGTTGATCTCACCCAGCTTTCTAACTTTTCCGTGCAATCTCTTGTGCTTACCAGAAAGAAACTAAACATTTATTTAATCATTCATTATTTAACCACTTCTGAGTAAAGTGTTATTAACACTGGTGGACCAACCTGATCTCCCCAAATACAGCTCCTGCTCGTAGTGTAACCAGGACTTTTGTGCCATCAGGGCCTCCAAGGACTTGAACTTCACCTTGTTTGATGATATACATCTCTCTGCCAATTTCTCCCTAGACACAGAAACGCATACGTAATGATCACTGTTTTTTGTTTTTCTTTTTAAAGTAAAATCATCTGACAAACGTCTGTGTAAATGTCTCTCCCTTTTCTCATGCAGAGTTTTACCAGCTTTGTGGAGAAATAAATGTTTGTGCTACTTTGCCTAGCATTGAGCACAATTGTGAGGACTGACTTTGCGTATCTAATTGATGTAAGGCAGTATTTGAGCAGGAGTTAAACCATCCAGGCCATCCTAAAAAATGAAGACTAATAACAACCAGGATTGTATCAGTCATTTTCATCTTCTATTCTAGTGGAAACAAAAGTAATTCAGCAGCATATTTAATGAAGAGTAGTGCAAAAAAGCCTGTGTTTCATAGTTTTCATTCTGTTACTTCCAAGCTTCGCTTAACTAATTTACAAGGAAAATAAGAATAAACAGCCGTTCTAAAATCTGTGACATTCTGTGTAATGACTGGATGGTTTAAGGGGTTATAGCCTGACTATTATCTTCCACAAGACCTGCTAAGATTCATCAGTATCATCATAAAAAGCAGGTAACCTGGAGTAAACATGATTATAACAGTACTCTTTGTATCTCAGTGACAGGAAAATAATTATTTTTCTGCTTATGTTACTGGAGTAAAGCAGCAATTTCAATTTAAAAGTGAAAATGCACCAGCAACACCACCAGAATTGAAAACGTATGGCTTATACTTCTATCTCATAATCTGCTTCTGCAAACCTGTCAGAGCCTCCTAGGTGAAGTGTGATGAGGCCAATGTGCACCCACATAGGAGGTGCTCCCAACTCTCAAGTTCCAACAGGATTTTATTCCCTACTACAAGTTACAGTATCAGTAGGATTACCTACTGATGCTGGGGTTGTTGGACCAAACAGACTTGGGATCACTTGGTCGGAAGATGAGCCATCTACCTTTCTTATGTAAGGCCATGTACGATCTAAAATCCTAAGGGACAATGCGACAGCATTCGGCTCACAGTTTGGAGATTGCACGGAGTGAATACAGAGCAATGTCCTGCCGTAGGGAGCAGTATGGGATGCACTGTATTTTCTACATTCTTGGGTATATATACATATATATACATGTATATATATATACATTCAGCTTCAGAGTTTGTAATATACAAATGAAGCACATGCAAAGCATCACGGATTGAGATCTGTAGGCTGTTTGTATATATAACTGTACAAAAATTGAGCTTGCTCCATTTTAAATATCGACTTCATGAAGTGTCACCAGATAAGTCATATTTACAGTAAGTACTTTCCCATGCTACTATAATTTGTTAGATAATAATAAAATCCATATTGTCTTGTTCTAGGTTGAAACTTGAGAGCAAATTTGTTATTATACACAGAATCTTAATTATTTTTATATTATCTACTTCACTCAGAATTAATTTTATTTGAAGGCTACTTTTGACCTTTATCTGAACTCAGTTTTCAAAAATACATATTATTATGCGTTACTACACCACAGAGCTCACCTTTTTGCAGACAAAATCACCAGGTAAATACACAATGGATTTCAGCCTTAGCAGCATGTCGTATATCATCTGAGTATCACACCCCTGTCAAAAGAATTATGCTGTATTGATTCAAGAACACAAGTGATTATTAGTGCTTACACTGGATAGCAAAGCAGTACATGTATGCTCCAGGGTTTTGTAAGAGGCAGGTGAAAGGAAAACGTGGCAAGGACCAGCTCATAAAGGAGGCAAAAGTACTTTCATTTCAGATGCTAACACAGTTCTCTTTGGGTTGAATATCTCTAATTTCTTTTTTTTTTTTCTTTTTTTTTTTCTTTTTTTTTTTTTAATGCAGTAAGCTTCTGTACATCTAAGTTTGACTGCTGTGGAAACACAATGTTATTTGCTGTGGGTAGCAGATCTTTTAGAGATATATTTATATATTTTTTTAATACTGATCCAGAAAAAAAAGCAGATCATGTAAAATGTTGGTATGAATCTGTGAATGCCATGTCTTTAGAAAATATTGCAGAAACAGTTCTACTATTTAATGTTTAAACAGAGATATCATGATTTCTTGCAATTGCTCTAAAAAAAAAACCTGTTAAGCTTAACGTATTTCAGGATTACTTCTAAAAATGCAGTGTCTTCCCACTTTTTGTGTCACAAATCCAATGTTAAGTACTGCATTAAAGCAGTCTCTCTGGAAACCTATCATGATAACAATGAGGAAGTTCTTTGAACAAAATGTTTCTGAAATACAGCTTTCACTACATTGAAGTTATGTTCTCAGAACAGGTAATATTGGTGATCTCTCAGGCAGGGCTAAGCAGTAGACAGCAAGGTGAACTGTTCCAAAAATCATATTTTTCTGTATCTGGCTGTGGTTAGTAATGTTCTGCAATCACTTAGGATCTGACCATAACATCAGCTTTAACGGGTCAGTATGACAAGACTGTTTCTTAACCTCATTTGCTCTTTTTATATCTCTGATTTGACACACACACACAAAACCAAAGTCATCCCTTGGCTTTTTCCTGTCCTGTCTCCACTGACTTAGGTATATAATAGACATAGTTTGCCTTGAGTATTAAAAAACATGTTATTTTGTGTAGCAAGATACAAAATCAAGGTTTCCAGCCTACAGGTACCACACATTACTGCATTCTTTTGTTAAAGTACTTGCTTTGAATAGGTCAACTTTATTGACAATGGCAAAGTTCACATCAATTGCAATGGCTAATTGCATTTTGGTTGGCATCTGCTCCAGTAATTCTGATTCATCTGAAAAAGAAAACAAAAAACATCAAAGCATTGTTAGATGGAAAATATGCAGATATAAAGGAAAGAAAGAATGTCTGTAAAAATGAGCATTTTATAGAAATATAACTTCAGAGAAGTCAAGTGGTTTGTGAAGTAATTAGTGCATTCCTGAGTTCAAATGAGGAAGATGGCTAGTATGCCTTTACTTTCTTTTGTATTATGTGTGCTGTCCAAAGATTTAACTGGAGTATTATGTAAATTAATAAAATTTGTGATGTAGTGTCATATTACTTTGGAGTTTTTTGCTTTTCTGAAGGAAACTGAATATCCTCCTCTCACCTTCTCCCATGAAATTCAGTAAAGAAGAAATGTACATTTCACCTTATAAGCATATCTGCAGAGATCACTCCAAGCTGCAGCATAAATGGAATTGGAAAGCCTTACCCAGCATTCCCTGAGAGTCCCATGTGTATTCATACCAGGTTCGAACACGATTTTGAACTAGTTTTGGAATTGAATATGTGTTCATATAGGAGACGGTGTTATCCATACAGGAACGGTAGTAGTTCTGTCCTGCTGTAGCTGCTCCAATTACATCTCTCATCTGCAAACATCAGTTATGTTACTACACATTTCAACAAACAGTCTTCATTTGAGTATCTTGTCAACAACATAAAAAAGGAGTGAAACATTTGTTTACAAAATTCCTGATTAATTATGCATTCAGTTCTATGCTTTATAGAGTTGCTTCATCTGCTTTTTCAAAAACATCAAAGACATAAACTAATTGTGAAAGAAACAGACTGCAGTATAATTTTTAAATAACTCATTTGTGTTTTTCTGCTTATTCTTCTTTTATTTCTAGAATTGAATGAAAAATACAGATAATGTTTTCTTAAATACCTGTAATAAGGCTATTCTGCATTTGTTGTGCCACACAAGCCAGAAATGAATCACGTTGTACCACAGAATCATAAAATTAATTTGAAAGAGACCTTAAAGATCAGCAGTTCCAATCCCCTGCCATGGGCAGGGCTGCCACCCAGAAGATCAGGCTGCCCAGGACCCCATCCAATTTAGCCTTGAGTGCCTCCAGGGATGAGATATCCACAGCTTCTCTGGGCAGCCTGTGCCAGCACTCACCACCCTTTGAGTGAAAAATTTCTTCCTAAAATCTAACATCAAATTCTAAAGCCATTCCACCCTGTCCTGTCCCTAAAAACTGGGCCAAACTTCTGTAATAACTTTGGCTGGCACCAAGAGAACTAATATCCTGCCAGTTTTAAATTGTTAACTGAATCTCGATCAGTCTTAAAAATCCACTTTGGGCCATAAGTTGATCTTAAACATTTTTGTGCAGGAACATGATTTGACATTCCAACAAAAATATAATTTATTTTGCAGAATGGCTTAATACTGCAGTGGCCCAGTGTGCTGCTGGGGTAAGTTCTGCTCCTGATTACAGAAATAAAATCCATCACAAAAGAAATAACAGTCTTAAAGAAGTGCATGAAGCAGGAATAGTTTAAGATCTTTTTATAAACAGGAATTGCAACAAACTAAAATGAAGCTGTTTTTATAGTAAGTTTTGATTCTGCAGTTAACTACACTGGTTGCCAAAAGCAAATCTACTTTGACAGTTATGTCAAATTAGCAAAATATAGACTTACACCCCTGTAAACTCTGAAATTTAAGCCAATAACTTGTACCAGTTTTCATCTTTATCTTTTCCTCTTAATTCTCCCAATAGTAGACATGTATGAATCAAAAGATCTGGAATGATTTGTACAGAAATCCAATATAGTTTGACATAGGAGTCTCACTATTCATTTTTCTGGAGGCAAGGTATTTTAAAAACTATGGATTTAAAGTTCAATTTTAACAGTTTCATACTAGATATCATTCATGCTGGATTATGCTTGTTTTAAAAGTATAACTAATTTATTTTGCTATGGGCTTTTTCTTTCCCTCCTGGTAAATGAAAGCCAAAATAAATATTCAGTTTTCTGGTTAACAAATATTTTGTGTCTTCTGGAAGAGAGCACAATTCTAGTCTGACAGAAATTCTGACATTTCCATTAACAGCTTTAGGTCAGCCTGTGAGCAAAAAGTTACAAAACTGGGAAATCAGTAAACACATGCAGTGATCAGAAGAATTAGTATGGATGATAGTAAAAAGGGGGATATTCATAATGAAGCTGAAGTTTTTCCTGGAAAAAAATAGAACAAAATTGGATGTATTATCTTTACATTGCAGTACTCTGAACATATATAGTTATTGGATTTTTGATGTACCTGACCAATTAAGCTGGAGAAAACGAAGACACCCAAGAAAAAATTCAGCAGTTGAAAAACTATCTCAAACAATGTTTGTGGCTCTGGAAGGCCACCGATGGTGATTAAAGTACGAACTGCCCAGTAGTAACACCTCAGGTACCTGTGGATACAGACAGAGATTTTGTTATCCACTGCAGGTACTAATACGATTGAAGCTAAATATGTACACACCTGGGTTGGCCATTTCAGTGATGCCTTTCAATCCAAAAACCTTCAACATTTTTTATGAACAGTTATAATTTGATACAGTTATGTAAATCACATTGAACAGAATGTTCTCACTGAAAACAAAATACAATATACAGAGAATGCATCAGTTGTTTCACATTCTCCACTCACTTTGTGGAACAATGCAGAAGACTTCTACAGGTGAAACTACCTGTGTAGAAATAACTGCATTAGAATTTGACAGGTGAAGATGCCAAGGAGTGGGCAGACTTCAAGAAGACTTGGTGTAAAGACTTGACAGATTTTATGAGTAGCAGACTAGATGCATGCACATCTTGAAAGTGTCTTCTGTGGTTTCATTTGATGATGGCAGTTAGAAGCTTTATGTTGTGTATGACAAATGAAATGCAGTCACCTAATTTTTCTGTCCCCTTATTCACGTTGCTTCTGAGTGGTCTTTTTTTGTCTCTACCTCCAGTGTCATGTCAAATAGAAACTACACCTTCTTGTAAGCTGCATGTTAGTCCAGCTGCTCCAAACCTCTCTGTAATGCAGCACCAAAAGATTGGCTTCTGCATTAACTTCTCCTAGTGGCTGCCCTCCACTACCCTTTCTACCGCTCCAGCGAACATATTCTTGCCTTCTTTACTACTTTCCCCCATTCTTGGGAAGCTATCCATGGCTACCATGTGAACACCCTTCAAGTTTTTCTCAAAAATTCTCTTAATCTGGAAGCCAGATATAGCAGTAAGCAATGGTCACTCATTAAGACTGTATTGTGACTTGTGGGTTATATTGACTTTCACTGTACTCATTTGCTTTATCTCACTTCCTGTACCCTAGAGTGAGTCCTTTGACCAAAGATTTTTATTCTGTTTTTACAGTTTTCTTTTTGGAGCCCCATGCATACAAGAGTCTATTCCATTCAAGTTTATTTAAAAAAAATAAAAATGGACCTGTACAGAGTTAATTATTCAGATTTTATGAGAATAGCCATACTAAATCTTTATGTAAATAAATTGGCATCTCTATAACTCTTTTTAAAATTTCATGCTAAAGCATTAGTAGTGTAGCATCCTCCATAGTATGCATCTGGGGATTAATTAGTTTTGATCATTGCCATGAATGTGCTGTTGTTTCCTTTTTTCCTGAGTGAACAAACAACTGTTGTGGGAATGTTTTTCAAGACCTCACAATCGTTCACTCGTTAGAATTTGATTTTATAAATCTCTATACAATTAGATTTCAACTTTTATAATGATTAAAAGTATGATTTCCTATCATTTCACTGATGACTATATCTGAAAAATCAAGGTTCTCTCTATTGAGATTTATTGAGTTTGAAATAAAAAAAGCAAACAAAATCAAAACAACACACACAAAACAAAGGATTCCCCTCCACCCCTCTACCCCTCCCCAAAATAAGAAAGAACAAATTGTTTATGAGATGAGTGTTTTGAGACTATCATGTATCGTGCATCTATCATGCATCTTCTCATGCGTGCCTGGATTTTGAGGTCCCCTGATCTGATTGCAGTCTTCAGGTGTACATTTTAATTTTGTGGTTCTTCCTTTAAATCCTTTCTCATTAAAATATGAACTCTCCTCCTAAATGATCCATCTAATAATACTATTGCAGGGTCAGTTTTGTGCAATTAGAAGAGAATGAACTCACAGTAACAACTAGTTCCAATGAATAACGTTCCATTTTAAATTACTTGAAAGTGCTTTCAAATATTTCACCTAAAACATCAGAATTTACCAAGCAATTTTTTTATTGTTTTCACTGCAATCACATTTTTCTTGCTCTCAGATTTCTGAAATGCAGTAGTGGTGATTACTTCTGTAGTTTTTATGTTTTAGATTTTAACAGACAGAACTGAGTCTGAGACATTCAGAGTCCGTAAGTCAAAAAATTCATTGTGTATGTGTCATTTTTCCTTGTTAGAGATGATGAAAGGAAAACTAAATTACACCAATACAAATTTTAACTTAGGCTCAAAAATAGCATCACCTATTCACGCTTCAAGCAAAATATTCGTAAGAGGCAGCTTTCACTCTGAGTTCTGTAGCACAAAGAAAAAGAAAGAGCAAGCCTCAGATCTGTGTTAGAAGAACTACAGATTTAGGTGTAAAATGATGTCTCTATCTTGTCTGAGGGGATTTGTCATATGGGGCAGGTTAATTTATTCATTTGTTATAGCCATGAATTTTGTAGTGCTTGAAACAGGTAGAATCTATAAATATAAAAATGGAAGAAATTTGCAGTACTTCTGTGCTAATTACAGAGGAAATGAAACTAATTAACCAACTCTCTCATTCACAATGGCCTTGAATGCCAGGTTTGTCACATCTATCATGTTCGTCCATGATATAATTTCCATTCTGGTCATCTCTGTCTGACATGGAAGCAGCTCCTTGGAAGAATTTAGGAGCCCTAGCCATGCTTCTTTGCAGATTCTCAGGATTTTTGTACAGCTGCTCACCTCTTTCTGAGGACATCATTAATGCAGAGCGTTTTTCTGGAATTTTACTTTGAAGGAATTTTTCTACTAGCAAAGTGACATGATATTCACTGTTTCTTAGGCACAGGTTTTTATCTTCTCTATTTATTTTACTGTTTTTTGTTTTCATCAGACATAACTGTTGAACAGTTGAAATAGAAGGGAACAAGTTTCCTGAGGAATTAAACTGTAAGATTTGTTTAGGGAATGATAGCAAAAAAAAAAAAAAAAAAGACTACAGCTTCAGTGGTGTCAGCAGCTCTGCTTCCAGTGAGCTAGAGAGTCTGGAAAACATCACTGCTTACCATACGGCTTACTTGACTGCTGTATGATTACTGTTAGAGCAAACAACCTGAGACAAGAAGGGGATTTTCCTTTTGCACAGCTCAGACAGGATGTTTATCCTTCAGGCAATCCAGGTTATAGATTTTTTTTCCTAAAATAAGTCCTAGGTATGAAAAAGTTTAGAAATACTGCATTTAAGATACCTTGTAATGTTATGCCAGTGAAAATATCTTCCTCATAAAAGTGTATTTTAGAATATGCTGAAATTTTTACATAGTTTTGGTTAATCTAATAGATGTATGAAAATTTTGTTCATACAGCTGTCAGATTTTAAAGTGGTATTCACACAGCTGAGTGAGGAATTATTTAAGGGCTCCTCCCTGATTACAAAAAGGACAGATTTGAAGTAGAATAGAGATTTTATTAGGTGGTGTTCTAATGATGTCCTTCTTCGTACCTATTTTTTCCTGGGTGACCTATTTGTTGAGTAATAGTGGGCATGATGAGCTCAGACAGTGAGGTGTAATCTACAAAGGCTTATAGGAAATATAGCTACAGGCAGCAGGTCTGAAAGCATTAGATCTGACGTCTATAAGGCTTGGGCTGAACTTTCACATTTTTTTCCAGAGGCACAAAATGATCTCTACGGCAAACACTAGGAGTGTGACCCTTCAGAGTTTTTTAGGTTTATTGCTGATGTGCACATATGCAGCATCTTTTACAACATCTTTTACAGCAGTCTTACTGCATGCTGGGGGAACACTGCAAACCAAAGGAGTTGAATCATTCTAGGCACATAGAGTGATCATGTTAGCAGGAAGTTTTTCACACAGAGGGTGGTGAAGCACTGGAACAGGTTGCCCAAGGAGGTTGTGGATGCCCCATCCCTGAAGGCATTCAAGGCCAGGCTGGATGTGGCTCTGGGCAACCTGGTCTGGTGGTTGGTGACACTGCACATAGCAGGGGGTTGAAACTGGATGATCGTTGTGGTCCTCTTCAACCTGGATCATCCTATGATTCTGTATTCTGGGATTTCCAGATACCTGCTAAGTTGCCTCAGAGCTGGAAGGCATCAATCTATAGAGAAACATTATTAATATGCAAATGGATGTTTTGATTAGTGTACATGCTGGGGAATTTTGCATTCCACTCAAGGATGACTTGCAAATGGCACAAGAGATATATTATAAGCAAAGTGAAATGATTTATGCCTAATTTTCATGTTGAATAGATGAGGTTGCATGAGAATTTTAGCTCCCTGGGTTTAATTTTCCTTAGAGGCAATGGCAAGGGAGACAGATCTGCCTGGGGGTCAATTGAGAACAATGACATTAGGTTCCTGCTTTGACTCACTTGCTAGAGAATTTGTTCATTTTCCCAAGGAATTAAACAAATCTCTTACATAGCTGAACTAGACTGAAAATAAACACATGTGGTTCAAATTGTTCACTTATCTATAATTAAGGGACCTTTTCAATATCCTGTTGCTCTCTTCACATAAACTCTGCATCATGGTGCTGCATCTGTGATGATATTCACTTGCATTAGGAAGGACTGAAGTCTGTTGCCTAATTATAGGAAGTTCATCAAATGCAATTTTAATGCAGGGAACATCTTGATTGTCTGATTTGGGTTTGTTGCAGTGGGAGTAAAGCTTGGGTTTCAACATACTTGGGATTTTATAATACAGCATGAGTTAAATTGATGTTAAAGACTAATTGTATACATTCATCACCAGTGAGGATGAGGTAGATTAATGGGTTACTGAAATCTATGGGAATATATACTCCTGTATTTTATTTCACCATCTCAGTTTAAAGACTTAAATTACTGATCTATTATTATTGTAAATATAATACATAAATATAATAAATTCTACCCTAAATCCCTTGTGATTTCCATGTAACATCATATGAAAAGTGTTTCTGTCTTCTCATGGAAAACATACCACAAAATGCTAAAACTTGACCATAGCCTCTGTGCACAATTGCTTTGTCTGTGGTCAAGCTAGCAAATAATTTCTACCAATTTTTCACATGAATGTAGAATGTAGAAAGTAGAATATTTTTACTGTGAAAGATAAGAATTTTCTATTTTCTAGGCTGTTGTGAAAAAGCTTTAAAAGCTTAAAGACTGAGTAAGCTCTCTACTTTGAGAGCCTTCAGGTTGCTTAGTCGTAGTTATCTTGATTTTTAATTAGGAGGCAAGTATTCCCAAGAATGACATTAACTGAAAAAGCTGTGAAAGAACTTCAATATACATTTTTCTTGTGAGATATCCAGAATACTTGATCATGTGAATAAATACCTGTGTAACTTTACTTACAGAAGTTGTTCCCCTGAGCAACCTGCAATGTTCCTGCAACTAGCAGTGGTTCTGCTAGCTTTCATCTGGTGACCGTGTTCAAGCTGCGTATTTTAGTTGTATGTGAAAACTTCAGATGTCTTTTTTTTTTTTAAGAGAGAACCCTAATTATAAAAAAATCAATGCTACTTTACACGAAATATGTTTTACTCCAAAGGCTATTTTTCTTACCCTTCAAAACAGTGACTTCACATCACAGTTGTGAAGTATAAAAAAATTTAAAGCAATAAGAGCATGTCTCCAAGCTATTAACGGAGAAGCGTGAAAAGTTGTTTAACGGGTAATTTATGTCATCAGCAGTACATTATATTTGGTTTTGCAAATAATGTAATTAATGAACAAATTGAGCCTCAGTGTCTTTAACTATTTTATGGTCTGTGAAAGAAAATTATTTCACACATAGGAAATTTCTGTATATGATTTTATATAACTATATTCAGAATATGGTAGGAATTTGCTTATTTTAATTTTGCTTCCTTTCCATCATTTTAATGAGTGCCCCTTATCTGGCGTCCAGCCTTGTGCTGTCACAAGGAGTTACTGAAAAATGTGTCAAGTGTCAACACCCACTCCTTCCCACTGGGGACACCCCTTGCCACATGGTTAAGCACGCCCTTCTCCAAAGATTAAAGAAATCCAGTAGAATTTCTTTCAGAACAGTCATGATGGTGTTTAGCAAAAATAAAATGTTGCATTTTAATGACACAATGCTGTGTGGCAGAAAAAAAATCTGTGCCTCCACTTTCCTTGAGGTATTGTTCTGCCATCCTTTTAACAGTTCCCATGGGCACAGGCAATCAGTAACTTTAATTTATGGTTCTTGCAGCTTTCTAAATGTTTAATTAAGTTAGTGCTTAGTACTGACTCATAAACCTATAAAAGCTGAAAATAGTAGACGAATTATTCATTGCACCTGCCCTCCAAATATGTGTTAGTAGTGAAAGCTGCTCTTCAGTAGACATGGTGCTAAAACTTAGCTAGCCATGCACTTGTAAAGCAACATATACCCTGCATGCAATGTCATGGGGAAGGGAGGGGACGCAGGAAGGAGCAAAATTAGGGAAAATGCTTGCAAGAGAAAAGTACTTACATGTTTCCTTGGCCATCGTACACCCATCTAGTACTGCCAAGTCCTTCATAGTCTGAAGCCCAATAATACAAGCATGCATTAATGTGCAAGATAAACAGCAAGTATCCAGTGGTTCGAATGACCCTATAAAAGTCAACAGATTCCAAATTACAGATGACTGAATTCCTATAAAAAAAACTAGTAGTTTTTTTCTCCTTTTAATATGGGACCTCTTTTTTTTTTCTTGTGTAAACACAGTATGTACTAAGCATCCACTAAGTAGCTCCCCAACTATATTTACTCTGTGAAAAAATTGCAAGCAAAAAATCCTGTCTCTCATGTTTGTCCAAGGTCAAATGATATATTTCCTAGAATGTTTGACACGGGATCATTTTTAAATTATGGTTTCCTCAGAATTTCATAATCCACTTCTTTAACTGGCTATGAAACTATATTAATGAGGCTGGAGGGTACAAATGTCTCTGTTTGCCAAATCCTATTCAAGACAGGCTCCAAATCTGTGAACCGGAGCCCAGAAATATCTGAGGTCAGAAATGAAATGTTTTACAAGAGCTTTACTAGGAAGCCTACAACAGATCTGCTGAATGGTATGATTTAGTAGCTACAGCAGGCATTATATCATTGCTAATCCTAGTTCTTATGCTTATGGATGATTCTTCAAATAACACCAGTGATGAACTACTTAGCACTGAGTGGCTTTCTATTTAATACAGTAATGATCTCATTGTGTATCCTCTGTTCAGTGCATGGAGATCAAAAGGAAGATCTCCAGGACTTAGCTTTCCACTCAAACATTCATGTATCCAAGGGATAAACAGAAGGAAAAGTACAGGACTTGCTTAAACACTCAGACTGCTCTGTACTGACACTATCTACTAAAGCTAAAGGCAGTGCAGTTTGAGTGTACAGTAACTGAGAGTGTGGTTAAATGAAAATTTAATAAAGTCTGGTTGAATTAGGTCCATAAAGTTAAAAGGAGATCCTATTTTTGTGGTTTCTTCAATAGAATGCTCTCCTTTGCCTGTTCTTCTTTTGCCATTGCATGCCCTCCTTTGCATCCCCATGCCACTGAGCAATCTGCCTATGTGCACTTTTCTTTAGGATGCCAGCAGGTGAGTGCCATTTCTCTGTTTAAATGTTGATGTGATTCCAGGACAGCTCTGCGTAGGACTGTAAACTGTTAAGAACAGAAGATAGCTGACATAATCTACCAATATTACAGTACTGACCATGCTGGATCTAGTGCACAGATTTGAACCCAGGCAGGTGAACTGAGGCCTTAACAAAGATTCTGGAAGCCCTTCATACTATGCATATTGTATTTCTCTGGGCAAGTACCAAATCCAACATAATAGGTAGATAAGATGTATTAAATTTTGCTAGCTCTATTCCTACAAACTCAAACTAATGAGTTTGTGAAAAGAATTTTTCAACTTCCTTTTTGATTTTCTACATTACACAAAATATCTCATTTGCAATGTATGAATATCAAGTCTACAAGCATAATAATTTCTGGAATAAAATAAGATGTTAGTCTTTATTTTAATAAGATAGTATTCATGCTGCAGAAGCACAAAGGAGCACAACCTGTCCCATGCCTGAGACAAAGAAATCTGTTGATGAAAGAATCACACAGGATAATCTAGGACTGGTGACATTATTATTGGCTGATAGGATTAGTGAAAGAGTAGACGAGTTGAGTTCTAGCAAAACTGACTGCTGAGGCAGCTGTGAAAATTGCCATATCCATGTCCATGAGTTGCCTGAATTGGAACCAAAATTCTGGGAAATGCAGAAGCTGGGAACAATAGACAAGAATTATAATCACTGTTTGAGATCTGTACTGAACTGATTTTCATTCGAAGATTGTAGTGAAGGATCAAACTTCCAAGTTCATGGGTAGAGCATATTTGAAGAAAAAATTTGACATAGGCTCAAGCTCATGACCATTAATTACAAATAAACAAGTACTGAGGATTTGACACTGCTATTAGAAACCTTATGATGCCATTCTTTAGCTCCTTAGCCAAAGAAACTTCTGTCAGATTTTTCAAACAAGTTAAATTTTGACAGGAGCCTCAGAGTGGTGAACATCTCACCTGAAAATAGCCTCTGTACTCGAGCAGGCCAGTTGAGATGGACAGGATTCCCTATGTGAATGAAGCTTTACATTTATTATTTGAATGATTACAATAAAGATAAAAAGATTTTTTAAAAAATCTTAAATGGAACTGTTAAAGATGTACCAAATTCCATCCTGTACTTCACTGGCAACTTATGAAATCAAACGGAAGGTGTTCTGTGCCTGGGTTTGCATATTATAAGGATTTAGTAAGCACATACCTGTAGATGTATGCTTTGTCCAGGATAGCTTCCAAACGATCATTGAACTCAAAGAATGTGTTATGCTGAATGGAAAAGAAGTGAAAGTAATCCAGTCACTCTCCTCCATCCCATATCTTTTTCTTCAGTAGTACTGACAGTTGCTCACATACATATTCTGAAAATAATGTAATTTGCAGCAGTCTAACTTTATAAATTTATGTAAGAGATGAACTGCAAAGCAAAGAGGTAAACTGAATCAAAGAATGTTTTGGGGTGTCCCACTCATTCTAGAGGTCAGATTTCTGCTGATGAATGACTTCTGTATCCTGATATGGGTATATGAAGACCACTCTGAAAGTAATGCCTCTCATTTTATTATGTTAACCCACAATGTTGGAGACAGATTTTGGTGGTATGGCAGTAGAAATTGAACCTTCTTGTCAATATTTCATTACATTTTATAGCTGTGTGACAAATGGCAGCAGAGGGGCAGTCTGACTTATATAAGTTTGAAGTTTTGTTGCAAACTGAAGAGCACCATCATTTTGTTTTCATAGTTTTCATCTGTACCTTCAATGTAACGAAAGCAGACAGTCAATGTTTGACTACATATGTCAGGTACAGTTTCATAAATGATTTGTAAGAAAAACAAACTTTCACCTTGTGACACACAACTATCAATAATAGTTTTGGATGTGCATACTCAGTATTTTGATCGTGACTGTGACTGCAGAGGCAGTTTTACCAACAGAAAGTAAAAGACAATGGTTCCAAAGTCACATTTAGCCATTAAAATGGGGAAAGGAATTATGCAAAGCCTATATAGCACAGAGAGCTCAAGAAGGGTTTGTCCCTGCCTGCAAGGAACCTGTTAACCCATGCAATGTTCTGTTAAGTACAATGAAAGGGAGGGAGAGGGCTGCTCTGTAGCCCCACCTCAGCCTCTCCATTACACGTTCCACATCTTTGGAGTCTATAACAAAACTCTGTTTATGAATTTTATATATGCTGTGTACAGTTTATGCTGTCCTTAAAATTCACATGCTTGCTTTTCAGAACCTGTCATTACCATCAGAAGGAGAAAATACGTTGGCATTAATTGGTTCTTAAATGAATGTTTCGGATCTTTGAAAACTAAAGATGTAATTTATGATTAATCAAATTCAAATAATGAAAATGAATCAGTGTTAAACACAAGACACCTTTAGAAAGTAGGAAATAATGAAGTCACAAGAAAAATAAGAGTAAGGACTTTGGTTGGCTAGAATATATCTTGACTTGTATTCTTTGTTGTTTATTTTACTGATGCTGCATAGACTCAGATGATTCCTGAAGATATTTTCCAATTTCTAAGCTCCATATTCCTAAATATTATAAACAATATTTCACTGACTTTTAGAAGCATTTATGTGTGGTTAGTCATCTATCACTAATGCAGAACTTACCTTTAGCATCCTGTTTACCCTAAATGCTGGGTTGAATCCAAAGAAAAAGTATAGAACGTCAAATGGCAATACTGATATCAAATCGAGCTGTTGAAGAGCAAAGAGATCAGTTTAAAATCCAAAATAATTGTAATGCACTTACTTGCTGTCAAAAACCTACTTAGATTAAATCATGACTGAGTATAAAATTTCAACAGTAAGCATGCTGTGCCTGTAACAACCAAAGTAGTGTTAGGGAAGGTTATCTCTTTGGAAACAGCAACAGTTTTGCTCTGCCCTACTTTTAAGTCTCTCTCATGTCTGAGATTTTCACCTGTTTCATAGGAATTATTGACAGTCTCAGATGTTTGGCTATTAATACATTCTGTTATTTCAACTATGGTTCTGACAAGACTGAAACGATAGACATGTGGCTGGAAAGCAGAGGCATAGAGAGAAATCCACATGAATTTTCTACTGCTTTTAAAGCCAGGATGCATAAAGCAGTGTGAAAGCATGGTGAATTAGACTCTTTGCTTGCAGCCTGCAAAAGCCATCTGTTGCATACAGAATATTCATCATGGGTTCATAGGATCTCATTACTATTAACATTATTATTATTATTATTGATATTGGCTTGCGTTGTGTTTGGATGTTTTCCCTTTCCATATCATCCATAGATGTTGTACTTATGGATGTATTTTAGTGGTCAATGTTGGTGATATGTGGATGGTTCAAATAAATGATCTTCGAGGTCATTTCCAATCTCAATAATCTATGATTCTGTGAATTTTACTAATTTTACTTTGTCAAATTATTATTATTTAGAATTGCATTTATAATTATTACGTTTTAGAAGTAAATAACATTTATAAGGATGAAGCAACACCATATTCAGATAGAACTAACATGCCATCAACTCTACTCTTTCTGCTGACTTTTAAAATCAACTGTGATTTTCAGGGAAAGAAAAGATCCCATAGAATCCTTCTGACAGAAACAACAGTATTGACACCAGTAATGAAGGATCTGCTTACCCGAAACTTTACAGTGCTGTGATAGAATTTCTTCATTTCCACTTTGTCTGACTACAGTGATGATGGAAAGAGAAAAAAGTGTAGTCAAGAACCACAAGTCAAGAATGATTTTTGCTACTCTACAGTAAGAATATTCTTCTAACAATAAAGTTTTTAATATTCCCATTAATAATGGTCTGAAAGAATGAATGGAGTAATATCAATTAATCCAATGAAGAAATAGTATTTTCATTAGACCAATTTTTCCTTAAGCTAAATTTTATTAGACATTGGGGTTTATCTGCTTTTTATCCAAATCTGAGCTTTTGTCTAATGAAGTATGCTTTATTTTCGTCTTCCCTCTCAAAGTCTTTGTACCAGATGTTGCTTGATCAATACTTTTCAATTCTGGGGCCAAAAGAACTTTGTTGACATCAGTAGTTTCTAGAGAAATGCAAAGAATGATTCTAATAGAGCTGTACAAAATTAGCTCATGAAAGCCAACATTAACATACTAGCATTTTAAGTATTATAATTATCAACATTGCATTCATTAGTAATGATTAGGCATTTGTTTTTAAATTACTGTCCTTTGGAACTGGTCTTGATACCTTAATAAGAAGGGCAAATCACAAGAGCAGAGAAATGTATCTATTATTATACTTACTGAATTTATACCAGGAGCACTTTAAAAATAGCCTTAAAACCTTAAAGATATTTCCATTCTGACTTTTTACTATCACCATTTTAGGCATTATATTAAATGCAGGAGATCCAGCAGAAGATGATCTCTTCACTCACTAAAATCTTTGTATTGTACAAACAGCTTCAGTGGTCTTATTTCAGGGAAATGGAAGGTGAGCTTCCTCCATTACAATTTAAACCTTGTTCATAAAACTTGAGTTTTGTAGGATTTCAGCAAGATTACCACTTACTGAATGGCTAAGCATGGAATTCATTCATTCACTGTATTCAATATCTATCTGCACTTTATTTGTGTAGCTCTATCTGATTTTCCTCTGTAAATGTATTAGCAATTTATTTTATGCACAATATATAGAATTTTACATAAAAGCAGTGAAGTAAATCTAATTCCAAATTGATTTTGAATATATATGATTTTGAATTTTTTGTTTATTGGGCATAATAGTGTCACATGGAAATTCTAAACTCGTTTGTTCTGTGCATTTGGTTTTCTTCTATAAAACGTTACAGAATAGAAAGTAGGAAAGATATTTAAAAGAAGTTAATGCTCTATATGCCCTATTTATATGTTGAAGGTAAGCCTTTACCATTTTTCAGGCATGTGCTAATGGTTTTATTTTGCATTATTCTGTAAAAAGATAATATAAAACAGTAGCAAAAGGCAGTTGTTTATAAATACATATATATTCCCCCCACAAAGATTTCAAATAAATAATTGTTTAAATATCCTGAGATTGTTTTTGTAAAATCTTACAATCTCACTATCAGTAGGAAAACATTTACATCCTGTCCAGCTCTAGCAGAACATGTGATGTCTTCAGCTGTGATTCCTGAATAATGTGAATGGAAAGTTGAATGTTTCACATAAAACATGCCAAAATGTATATGCACATATGAGCATATAATCATAAAATCACTCATTCCAATAAAGGTGCACCTATTTACTCCTGGTAAGAAAGCACTTTATGCTTATTTTGCCTGTTGCATCTGTTATTTTCTAGTCTGTTCTACTATTTTTAAGGACTTTCATATGTAAAATTCCAATGCTTGTCCAGAATGCAGCCCAAAAGATATACTTTCTTCTTCCAAAACTGAATAATAAAAGGTCAGAGAAGAAGAATATAGGTATACTTTGCTAACCAAAAAAGTTGTGTAGATTTGATTGTGCCCATTAGTTGTGTACATTACTTGTACATGTACAAAAAGTTGTGTACATTAATAAAAACCTTAGCAGATTTCTATAATGTACTTCAATGCATAGTCACTACCTGTGGAAATCCCTCTTGCTATACTTACTATTATATCTCCACCTCTTAAAAATTGCACTCGGGGCTGGAAAACCAGCAGGTCACACAGGTAGCAGATATCACAGATGATGTCTATGGCAAACCAGTATATTGTATTACTTGGAGTTTGATATGGAAACACGTAGCGAAGGGGGATAAACCAACAATTCCAATTATAGGCCACTGTCACAAGCATGAGCCAAGCTACGTAACGGCGATCTGAAAGACAGAACATTGCATTTACAGATATGAAATCACAATGTTTTCTTATTCTTTTAGACATAGTTATGTTAATGCAGTATTTGGGAACCTTCCTGCAGAGAGAGCTGCTTATAATTATCCCTTTTTTAATTAGCACAGGCTGATAAAGTGACACAGGTTGAAACTAAGAATTACATTAGAAATTGCAAAAAGGCAAAAAGAAGAGTTTGTGAAAGCATTTAAAATTTAATGCGTCTGAAAAAGCTCAGAATGTTTTGTTGGTACATGCTGTAACTGGCAAGAATTAAGTGGCCCTAATGAATGGGACAGAATCTAGATCAAGAGACTGCAGTTATTTTATACACCAACTTTGTGGCAACAGAGAAATTGTTCTATCTTTCTAAATATTTACTACTCTGATCAGTTTTCATTCTTTTCCCTATTTGGAATTAAATTTCTTGAGGGTACAATATATGTGTGCCTCTGAATTGCAAACTATGATGTAGATCTTACTTTGGCTTGCAAGTACAATGTTAAACTGAATCACTTCAACATGGTTTTACCCCATTTTAAAGCACAGTTTTTAATTTACCCGTGTATGAATCTATGCTGTCTGGCAGCTTTAGATAGGTCTTGTACTTTTTCAGTGGAGGTTTCTTGAATTTACAGCACAGCATATCACAGTAGTGATCCTCTTCTGGCTTTGCTTCTGCTTCCTCTTTCTTTTCTTCTTTCTTTTCTTCTTTTGGTGGGGGTGGAGGCTTCTTCTTTGATGGTGCTAGTGACATAGAATGCCACAAAATGTGAGATTTTAACAGTGGCTTAATTTACAATATCCTATTTTAACAAATACAAGACCTTCATCATATTAAAAAACTCTTCTAAACACATTTGGCAGTGATTAAAGCTACAATTTATTGTAATACTGAGTACATTAGAAAGCAGATTGGAGAATAAAATAACATTTGATATAATCACACACATCTGCTATTGCTAATAGTGATAGTCATACTAGTAATAAAATCATTGGTAATAATACTATCACCCAACTTCATGTTGAGTGCAGTATATATGTTACTGCAGTTCCTTGAGCAGTGCCCAGAACAAGTGCCATAAAAGACTGAAGTAATTCATAATTCAGCTTTCATTAATTCACCTGTGCATTTCCTGTTATATGATTGTTGCATATAATGTGTACAATTAGGATGGAGGTTAGAAAAGACATCACTGCCACAGGCAGAGTTCTCCCCTTGTGTGAGATCTGATATGCACGACACAGCAGGTGAAACAAATGGGAAGCCTATGATTTTGTATATTTCTAAGGTGAGAAAACCTAGTGTCATTCCTTTGAGCTCCATTCTTCCATTTTATGCTGGATAATCTTGCCCACATATTTGTCCAATTAATTCTGGTTGTTTTATTTCTGAGTAGGCTACACAATCTTAGAAGCAAATTTAAGAAGTGGATCAATAGTGACCGGAAAGAAATAATTGTGAGCTCTGTGAGGGGAACAAAAAAGGTAAATGAGTGAAGAGTAATTTAAAACAAAAAAAAAAGTGGAGTTCTTTTATTCGTTGATACAGTTCATTATACTTCTGACGCTATTTTTTTCAAGTTTATTAAAAACTGGATAAAAAATAAACATCTCAAAATGGCAGAATATCAAATCACCGCATTCGATTCTTTGTGAAAAAGAAATAAAGCAAAGCAAATTTTCCTCTAAAGAGGAAGAGCATTATATTTGTTTGATGTTTCATATTTTATCTAAAGTCAATATTTAATGAATTTCAGATGAGTTTGCTTTGTTTGAAATGCGTGACTGATTATAAAATCAGTGTATCTGGAAGATTGCTGTCATGGATAGAATATTGTATACTTTCACACAACAGATCTAATCTCAAACTGGCCTGTATCTACTAGTGAGATAGATATGTTTCCTCATAAATTTTAGATTCATCATAATGAATAAAGGTATTTGGGATCTATTTTAAAATATATAAAACTGCTTGACAGAGGCAATTCTAGACACTGTCAAAAATTTCCCCTCAAATTCTGCAGTAATGTGGTTCAAAAGGAACTTGTACCCTGGGACCTGGCTTACTGCAAATACTTACAGATAACTTGACTTCATCGGGCACAAGCTGACCCATTTCAATGAGTAAATGTGATGTGGTAAGGTAAACTTACTGAAAAATTTTATCACAGCATTTTCTGTTCCAGCAACAGAATTTTCTTTACACTCAACAGATACACAACTGTTTCATGTATTCTAGCGTCACTTACAAGCTGTAGGACTGCCTTCAGGGGAGGACAACACGGGGTCTTTCAGCTTTTCCTTATAGGCTGTGGTCCTTTCCCGCATTTTTCTGACAATCTCCTGAAGCTGGGCATCAGCATATTCATTTGTTTGGAATCCTCGAGACGTTGTGTTCTTTGTGCTGTTTAATAGAGGAAGAGAAAAGTTTCATGTGGTGGAAAGCTATGGAAGAAATTGTGCTAACTCTACAGTACAAGCAGTAGTCAAACGTTAAGACTGGATCTGTATTGAACACAGTGGTTATTCATATCATTTAATTCACTGTTAGGTGGTCACATAAGTTAACTTATGTTGCTTTCTGTTAATGTCCATTGACACTGCTGGATACTTGCAGCAGTCTACAAGATAATGCAAGCAGAGAAGATCATGGTACTCTATGCTCTGTACAGCCTACTGTACAAATGAATTCCCACCATTATTTCTCACTAAATTCTTATTTGGCTTCTTAAGGCATAGAGCTTATCCTATGTATTGGCTAAGATACAAGGCATGTTCACATCTGTAAAATAAAATATGATCATTACTATAAGTTACAGACTCTGATGCAGTGGTGCAGGTGGAGAGAATGTGCCAACTTCATTCATTTTTTTTATCTAGGCTTTTTTATGACTTCTAGATAAATGTAGGTAAAAAAAATCTCTTTTTAGCAACTGAAAACAGAATAATGGTGTTCTTGCTAAAAGTTCCTCTGCCATTAAGAGGTCACTAACTTTGTGTTTACTCAGACATGGAGTGACACTAAGATTACACTCCAGCATTCATCCTTTCTTCAGGCTTGGAGACCTTTAATTTTTAAGCACCTGCACTCACAAATTCTGCATTGACACTAATGATTTTAATCAGACCTATACATACCACACAGTTGATTAGAAAATCTAGCTGAGAGTATTTTTTGTTTGACACCTTAATTCTCAATTACTTGTTACTATGCAAGCAGGAGCCATTTTTGAGTGCCAACCAGCTCTGCCATGCATTTGGAATTCTATGTAGAGACTAGGATGTGGATTTTAGGGCAGAGTGTCTGAAATCTGTGCAGAGAAAACAGACCTGGAGATATCAATTGATGTGCAGCTGAACATGAGCCAGCAGTGTGCCCAGGTGGCCAAGAAGGCCAATGGCATCCTGGCTTGTATCAGAAGCAGTGTTGCCAGCAAGAGGAGGGAAGTGATCACTGCTCTGTAGTCAGCTCTGGTGAGGCCGTACCTTGAGCACTGTGTTCAGTTTGAGCACTAACAAGAAAGACATCAAGACTCTGGAGTGTGACCAGAAAAGGGCAATGAAAGTATGGAACACAAGTCTTATGGGGAATGGCTGAGGGAGCTGGGATTGTTCAGTCTGAAGAAGAGGAGGCTCAGGGGTGACCTTTCTGCTCTTGAAGAGAGATTATGGTGTGGTGGGGATCTGCTTCTTCTCTCATGTAACTAGTAAAAGGACTAAAGGGCCTCAAGTTGTGCCAGGGGAGATTCTGGTTGGATGTTAGGAAACATTTCTTCTTTGAGAGAGTGGTCAGACACTGGAATTGGCTGCCTGTGGAGGTGGTGGAGTCACTGACCCTGGAGGTGTTCAAGAAACTTTCAGATGTCATGCTGGGGGACATGGTTTGTTGGGAATTATTGGTGATAGGTGGTCTGGATGATCTTGTAGGTCTTTTCCAATCTTGGTGATTCTATGATTCTATGATTTTGTTCTGTATCCAGACACATTTTTCAGCTGGTGTTCCACAGTAGTGTTAGAGACAGCTGGAGACAGATGTGATTGGTGCAGTGCACCCGGTGGTCTGCTCCCACACTGGTCTCAGCTGCTTCATCTGTACTGCAATCCTGCCAGCTATGCTCAATATAGTGAATACAATAGACTACTGTTCTTTCTTAACAATTTTCCAGCTCAGTATCAAATACCATGGGGATGAGAATGCTACAGTAAGAGAAGCAGCAGATGAAGAGTGAAGCAAGCCTGAAATTTTCCATTTTTGAAGAACTTCCCAAAGAAAAATAGGGGGAAGATGGCATGACTATATCTTGGAGAATGAAGGTATGAAAAATACAGCAAAGTGATCTTTGAATAAACACAATGTCTCCTCAACATTTAAACTTACTTTTATGTTCCTAACAGAAGCTGTAACTAAAAAAGGAGAATGTCAGAGCTTTTTGAGAATCACAGTTTTCTGGAGACACAACACATATCACGTTGCCCAGAGAAGTATAATTTAAGGATGTGAAAATGCTACAGCAATAAAACCATTGGATAAAATGAAGCTATATCATTAAAAGCAGAAAAAGCACAAATCTGAAGTATGTGCTTATCATTCCTCTAATTTAAGAGTTCTGTAGATTCTGTTTCTTAAAACTCCCAGACAGGAGATAAATCAAATTGTTCTAATACACTTTTTCATCTCATCATATTTTATTTTGTTTTGCATATTCCCTTCACCCTGGCCATCTGCAGTGTAATGAAATGCTTTCTTATTTTGAGCTAACATGTCACAATTACTTTTACAGCCTCTATGCAAGGAATTTCAAATAGTTTCTACTCTTCTCTGTTGCTGTATTTGCCCAAGGCATTAGCTATTTTATAAAAAAATACACTATTTTATAAGCTATTTTATAAAAAATAAAAAAAAAAATAAGTCAGAAGTGTTGTGACAAAGGCCTCTGCTATCTGCTTTTGAGGGAGAAGCCAAAAAGATGTGTAGGATTTCTTGTTGTTTCACAGCTTCTCCAAGAAAAGTTAAAGTCTTCTTTATCATAAACATGGAGCTTTATCTCTGCAGTATAGCCCAAAGGAATCATGTTGTTATTTGGGGTTGATTACAAGATCCGTGAATCTGTTTAAAGCTATTTGCCACGCAGTTGATAAGAAATTGATTTTCCTTGCCACTTGATTTGCATGATTTCTTCCTCTTTCTAGTAATGAGATGCTTAATTTTTCTGTGGTTAATACAAATGGAAGAGGCTAGAAGTTGAACACCGCTGATTTGAAGGTGTAATTTGTGTGTGTACTTCTTGTGAAGGCACACTTCAAAATGCCTTGGCTAAAGAAGCCCTTTCTAACTCCTCTCTCTCTCACATATTTAGTGGCACTTGCCATGAGTAGGTGATGCCAGTGCCGCATGGCTACCTGTCACTGCATATTGTACTCTGGGTGGAAACTGGGGCCAGGAGCAGCAGTCCCTCCAGCCTGCCCTCAGATCAATTCTCCAGCAGAGTTAAGGTGTTTTCCTCTTTTTGTTTGGAGATGGTCCTTTGCCTGTGTGTGTGCTCTTTAGTGTGTAAGCCTTTCATTAACACGATTTATAGATGTTTTATAAATTCGTATATCTAAGCACATATCTGCCAGTAGGACAAGCTTGAACAGCCATCAGGAGCAAGAGCATATTTTCTGGGTATGAGAGCCTGCTAAAGTTGTTCTCTGCTTTAAAGAGACCATATTCAATGAGAGTAATTAGTTCATCACACTGCATTACAGTATTTTCTGATTCCCATTTGCTATGACTCAGATATTTTGTACCTGTGAGAAGGGCTAGTTTGACTTGATGGTTGGACTAGATGATCTTAGTGATCTTTTCCAACCTTAATGATTCTCTAATTCTCCGATTGTCCAATTCTATGACTGATGCTTTTAATCTCCTCTGTGAAGGAAATAATGCCTCATTTGAATATGTAATCATATTCATTCTCATCTCACAGATGCAATTACTGACTGTATTGATTTTGCACTGGGCTCTTCCTGGCTTTATTCTGTGTATGAAAGTTTTCAGAGGGTGAATAGGCTGGAGATATAGACCAATTGCTTCTTTCCCTCTGCCTGTGTTACATAGTTGAATATTTTGAGCTATGCTGGAGCAGATTTGCAGATTCAGAGGCAAATCTCCTTCCTTACTGGCACACTGCCTAGATGGGCAGAAAAACACTTCTTTGCTTTTCTGTGCTGATCTGTGCTGAATGCAAGGGTTTGCCTCTAAGCTGATGCATTATTCTTTAAGCAAATTTATCTTTATGCAGTACTTTACATTTACTAGACCTTTACTTACAAAAGTATGTATCCCTTTACAGAGTGGAACTACTTTCCAGAAGTAGTAACTTCACATGGCCCAAGAAATGAAAAGTTAGGACTCAATCTCATGTACTGAGCATGTGGCTTCATGATTACCTCAAACACTTTTTGTTTAGCAATAGCAATATATCTAATGATAGAATTATATTAGAAATGTATTTTTTAGAAATGGAAATATATACATAATGATAGAATGATAACAATAATGATTTTTTTTAAGTATTTTTATCTTGTAGGTTTTACTTTGATGTAATTTTCCCCAAGTGAAGAAAAAATATTTAAGCACCTGTAGCACAGCAGAAGAAAAAGGCCTTGAGAGAACAAGTTATGGAAATGCAGCACAGAGTGTGCTAATGTATGTAACTTCTTTTAAGTACTGCAGCTTTGAATCTTTCTGTGTTAAGAGTTCAAACAATACAGAAATCAAAATACTATGGGCAATTTTAACCTTTACTAGTTTGCAATCTTGAGTTCAATTCTTTTTTGCTTTTTGGCCATGAATACCAAATAATAAGTTCAACTTCCTCTTTTATCTACCGTGTCACCCCGTAGGGTATGAAATACAATGATAATGTATTTCATAAATGAATGCACTCTGAAAAAAACCCCAACATTTTTCTTTCTGCTGAATTCAGTTATAATCCTTCTCTTTACATCACTTAATAAACTTTCCCCTGTCTGTGTGGGAAAGCAGTTCTTGTTCTTGCAAGAGATTCTGTTTTTACTGACAAAACTGATAGCTGTATCTTCAATAGTTTTCTTGAATAAATTATGTAGAACTTCTATTTCAAATAACTAGTTTTCAGAAGAGACAATGCATAGCTGCACACATGTCCACAAACAACAATAGTATAGCTGAGAAAGATTTCAGTGTGACAGAAAAATGTAAACCTGGTCATCATGAAAGGTATTGATTCAAAGTCATCCTCAACATGCACTATCAAGTCCACTGTGGGTAGAGTTACAGAGACCAGAACCCTACTCATATCTACTCCCACTTCCAACCTTAGATGACTTAGGAAACTTCATGGTTTTCTTCCACTTTAACTTTAGCTATTCTGATTAAAC